AAGATATCTTTTTTATTTTTTAGGCTTTGATAGACTTGTGTTAATAATTCCCTGGGTTGTTGTGCAAGAGCTAGATCGTATGAAGGCAGGAAAACTACTAAAATATGCCCAGCAAAAAGCTATACTTGCAGTTCATTTCATCAATGAATGTCTCAAAAATCAAGATAGAAATCTATGGGGTCAATCAATACAACTTGCATCTCAAAAACTTTGTAAGTATCGTTCTTTCATGGTGCTTCCTGGTTAAGATTTGTTTGGGTGCCAACTCATTGGAGGGAAATGGTGCAAAACTTTAAAAACTTTATAACCGTTGGAAATGTGCATGACAAAGCATGGTGATGCTTTGTGGGATCCTTGATTTATTTTTCTGCTTCTCCTAGACCTTCTTAGGTTATGTCTCTATTTTACAGATAGTAACTATTATAGTTTGTGTGCACAGTAGTCTGTAATACAGTACTTTGGGTTCTTTTTTTTAAATACTGTTGCTGAGTGATGAGGCCCATAGTAATCTAGGTTTCTCATCTGTTACTGCACACAGTTTATATGATGTAGAGGCAGGTATTATTTTCCTCTAGTTTAATTTGTAATAAGAAAGTCTTTTTGTAATAAAAGTCTATAGATTTTCTCCCAATTTTTTTTTCCATATTAGTTTTTTTGTTGTTATTTTTAAATCATTCTAGTCTTAGAACCCAGGTATGCTCTTTATGTTTTACATGAATTTTTTGGGAAAAAAAAATCTGTGCTTAAAGCAACACCATTTCCTCTACAGTTTATACATCCATTTAGAGGATTTGTCTCATCTTTAAAAATTTGTTTCTTCCCAGCTCAGAATTATTTTTATATGTAGATGTACATTATTTTATATATCATGCATGGATTTCTGTTGTCCACGGTACCCATATTCACCATAAGATGTGAAAGAATTCATCCTAGATGAATCTGATAATGGTATTAATGCTGAGAAGAATATTAATGCATAGCTGGCTTCCACCATTCATTCATTCATTCATTCATTCCATTTACAAATATTAGCTCTTAGTATATTCTAGCTACAATACTTACACATTTTAAGTAAGAACTTTATGTGATATAAGATCTTTTAAAGGAAAACCACAAATAAATATAAGTGATTAGAGTTAAGAAAATGTTAAAATGTTTGAACATGGTATTAAATTAAACACCTTAGTCTTTTTTTTTTTTTTTTACTTCTGCAGAATTTCAAATGCAGACATAGAGAATAATATAATGAATCTCTATGTACCTATCACGCATTTTCAGTAATTATCCACATTTTGCCTTTCTTGTTTATTCTTTCATTTCCTTTTTTCCTTTTCTCCCAACTCCTGGAACTTCTGCAGTAGTTTGAAGAAAATCCTAGATACCATAATCTATTGTTTTTACCCATAAATATTTTGCTATGTGTTGCTAACAAATAAGACTTTTTTTAGACAACCACACAATTAACAAAAGTAAATCCTGATCTAAACCATTATTTCAGTAAAACCCAGTCCTTAATAAGAGGTGGGAATTTTGCTTACTCTTAATCTTTTTGTTCAGTTATGTATATAAATTATATTTTATTACATAATAATATAGACAATGATGGTAATAATGGATAACATATATATTGCCATTATTCTCCAGACCCTTTTCAAAGTGCCTTATAGCTGATCGTTCAAACCATATAGTACTGTGGAAGGTACTCAGCCACATTTAATCAATGAGGAAATTGAGACAGAGATTAAGTACTTGTCCTAGACCGAAATTCCTTCAGTAGACCGGCTGTGAAAATTATTTTAGAATAGATATTTTGGCCACATTTATTATTTATAGATATTTGGCCACATTATTTATAGCTTGTTATGTTTCTTTTTTTTTCCATTTTCATGCTTTTTTGATGTTTTGACTTCTGTCTATGCATCTTTGATGATTAAGGAGGATAAATCATAGTCATGGCCTCAGACTTCTGTATTGTTTCAATTTCTGGGTGTTTTCCGTGAAATCCGTATTTCACTTTGTTTGAATGGCATTATTATCTGATCTTAGTTTTGTAAATTATAAGATTGTAGATATAATAATAGATTATTTCTATAATAGTCTGTCAGGTAAGTCCTTTATGTGTTTCTCTTATCATTGCTTTTTTGTCAAACTGATCATATAAGACATCCTTTATATAAAATCCAATGTATTTAATAAATTTACTTTATTGATAGTTTTATCAGATTATCTGTGATAATGATTTTATGATATCCTTGAGAAATATCTTTAGTCATTTTTATCATAATAAAATTACATCTTAAATCTAATGATAAACTGAAATTCTTATGAAAAAACTTAATTCAGGATTATTGAGTAAAATTAAAGTACTCGTTTGGAGGAAGGCAAGATCAAAATGAACTTTTAATTTAGTTTACATCTGTCAAGTGCATTTACAGCCAACTCTAATAATTGCTCATTTTGCATGTATTCTTTTATATAATCATTGAGTATTACAACAATGTATTTTTATACGAGCATTTTTCCATTAAAAAAAAGTAAAATGTCACAAATTGAATACAGTTTGTCCATGTTAAATAGCCTTAGTTGCCTATAATTTTAGCCTTGTCCTTAACTCTTCAAAATTGTATATTTTTTTGATGTATTTATTGTGGTAAGAAGAGAATAGGACTTGAAATCTGATTTACCAGGTTTACAACCTGAGCTGGAGACAGTTGAAGGTTAGGAAACTGAGTAAATAAAGAGGGGAGACAACCTTCAACTCAAAAAATGGTTGTGAAGATTGGTTAACATATTAAAGTAGTTAATGGCTCATGGCCTGGCATAGGTGATAATTCTCGTGTGTCCTCGTTATATGAAAAGCTTATAGGTATTGATTAGAAGAACTAAATATCCCCTTCTCCTAAATGGACAAAGATTATTAATAGGTCATTCACAAAGGAAGAACTACGAGTCAGCCATTGGTACACTGCAAATATTTTCCTGCCTGTTTGCTGTTTTTAATATTGTTAATTTCTGATGTATAAAAATTTTTAGATTTTATCTTTTACTTTTCTCTTTGTTATTTCTTTCTATTGCTTCTAAATGTAGAAAGTTCCTTTCTCCCAACAGCTGCTAGGAATGCTTAACATCACTTCAGTGCTTTGGAAATATGAATGATTAATAACTTTTCAGGAGAGCAATTTATTATTGTGTATCAAGAAGCCTAAAGATATAATTCTCTTTTCAGAAATATATTCTAAAGAAATAATCAGAGATGCTCACAGCGATTTCTATAAATAATGCTCATCACAATATATGTACAGCAAACAATTTTAAACAATCTGACTGTCTAACAATTGGAGAAGTTACATCCAATGCTATAGCCATATATTTTATATAGCCATAATATATTTTAAAATATGTTAATGATATGTATTATTAAACAAAATTTATTGAATATTTCATGAATATTCCTGCAGTATTAGGTGTGTTTTCCAGCCCCACATATCCTGGAAAAAGCGGTAGGACATATTCTTGAACTTTGAAACATTTAGAGCAGTGAACTGTAACTTTTAAACTTCTTTTTGTCTGTTGAATTGAGTTGTTTAAAGGTAACTGATGAATTTGAGCTGCCTCTTTTGCATTATTGTGTATTTACTCTGTGAGCTAAAAAGAAAGAAAATTGGCTGCTGTGATATGTATCTGTCAGGCTCACTAGTTGTCTGATTAAAGAACTGAATTAAATATCCATCAGGCTCATTCATCGAGATCGGCTGAGTTCTGTCTAGACTTCTCTGTGAGACTGTGAGTTCCCACTTTGTCTTTGCATATCCAGTTACTTAGCGCAGTGACCTGGCACATATTAGGCCCTTTATAAATATTGATTTCAGGAATAAATGAGTTTTCTAATTTACATGTTTAGGGGTCTACTTAATATAGGCTAAAAGTTGAGGTGGGGGAGTTATAATCTGAGAACAAATTTAAAGCTCACTGGCCAGTATAGTTTGAATTTTAGTGTGTAAAGGACTTGCTGAGGGCCTGAATCTCTGCGCCCAGGCTCCAAAGATTGTTATACAGAAGTGGATCTGGAGTGCGGCCCTGCAATCTGTATTATTAACAAGGGCCCTGGGGAGTTCAGAGGCAGGTAGTATAAGGATCTAGGAGAAACACTGTCTTTGGTCCTATTTCTGCACATTGCATTATTTTCACAAAAACAAACTTTTACTATATGCATTAAGGCTTGGAGAATGGGAGAGGACACCCTGTCAGCCACTGATTAACATTTATTAGGGATTACTTCTTGTGTTCTCTGCCTAGGGCCCATATTACCCTCTCCTGTACATCTCTAAATTGTTATTGCTTTAGAGAGTAAGGAAAAACACACGTGAAAGTGTTCTGTTGCTGGTAGAAAGAACAGTTACTCATTACACACTGGTCTCAAGCTATGAATTCTGGTCAGCCACTTAGAGATTATTAGTAAATTATGATTTAATCTCTAAGTGGCTGACTTGAGACCAGAATTCATAGCTTTTGGTTTCTAGTCTAGCATTTAACCTACTGATCACATTTCTTTGAGTCTATTAATAGGCATATTCTATTTCGTTTTAGTAGTAAACTAACCATTTTGTCAAACTCAGAACTATATGCTACCTGTGTTCTAGATCTAGAATTTTCAAGGTATTGTTTTACTGTCTTGTCTTCCTTTTTTTATTTAAAAGGTTTTCTTTGATTTAGATGTTTTCGATATGTAAGTATGGTCTAGATTATTCATATGGTACCCAGATTTCTAGTGCTTATTGACAATTGCTTTTGCTAAATTTGCAGATGGATTTAGTGATGAGAACAATGATGATCGAGTATTAAAATGCTGTCTTCAGTACCAGGAATTATTCCCTTGTTCTCTTGTTATACTGTGCACGTGAGTTTCTTAGTCATTTTATTCTTTTTTAAAAAACAGCAGATTATGAATTTTTTAAAATCATACACTATCTGCCATACCAAACATCAAAAACATGTATACTTTTCTAAATCTGCCAGTAAGCATATTCGATTATATCTCACAATCTTTTTTATTTCCATTTTTATTGAAACATAATTGACATATAACATTATATTAGTTTCAGGTGTATAACATGATTTGATATTTGTTTATATTGTGAAATGATCACGATAAGTCTAGTAAACACATCAGTCACCATCTCTAGTTACAAAAAAATTTTTTTTCTTGCGTTGAGGACTTTTAAAATCTATTCTTTTAGCAATTCTCAAATTTTCAATATAGTATTATTAACTGTAGTCACCATGCTGTACTATCTCACATTTTTATAACGTGTAAGCTATAGAAAAATGAGATTCGAGTCTCAAGTAAATGAAGATTCATTTCAACTTAATTTATATGAGTCAGAAAACTTTTGCGAAAGCAGGGGAAAATCAATTCAATATCCCAGTAAACTAGTTCAGAAATATAAATCTGACATTTTTTGGTCCTGAGGCAAGAAGTTTGACTAATTAATTAATTAACTTGTGGGAAAAGGGCTGATGCTGCTGTAGCTGTGTCCTGGGTGCCTGTTGAGTGACTAGGTTGGAGTTCTAGATCTGCCACTTACCAGCTTTGTGACTTTGGAGTGCTTAACAGTTTCTTCAAGTGTAAAATATTGGGAGAATAATAATACCTGCCCTATGAGGTGATTGTATTTAATCAGGTAGTATGCAGGAAGGACTTAGTGTCTAGTACACAGTAGAATAGCATCAAGATACTTTTCCTCCGTTTCTCTCTTTCTCTTTCTTCCTTTCTTCTATTCCCAACTAATATTTTCCTACCTAAGTTCTAAAGGTGAAGGTACCACAATGCCAAGTGAGGCCCTATTCATCATGTGAGAAAAGGCTCTGGAGGAACCAAGAAGAGCAGTTTTAATTAGCAGTTTTAGTCTGAATTTTCTGACTAAAAATCACTGCAAAGCGGGGTTTTTACAGTTTCATGATCATGCGTAAATTCTCCGTGCAATGGAGTGGCTACAGAAACGAATGGCCCTAAGATTTTTCTTGTAAGGAGGTTGGTTAATTATTTTAGCTGTCTTCAAAGATATTATTCTTTTTGGTATTAAAGGAACTATTGGCCATTTTTATCTCTAGGTTTTAAATTGTTTTATGATTTATAACATATATTGGAGTTTGTTGAAGGCAGAATTAAAATTAGCAATGTGCTGATCATTTTAAATTTGAGATAAGCTAAGTTTGAGAGATAATTATATAACTTATATTTTTCGGTTCAACTTAGAATGAAAATTAAATTGGTGAGCCTTCATCAGTTGTAGTCATTGTTTTGCGGTAAGCAGAAGTAACATTTTTTTTAGTGAAATGAAAATTCATAGTCACACCTTACTTTTAATTCTGGGTATTGTCATTTTGTAGGTGGGTGTATTTTTTATTTTTATGTTTTTCCTATAAAGGGCAGTAATCATGCCTACTATATGAAGTCACACATTTCTTGTGAGGATACATTGGTAAATGGATGATAATGATGACATTAATTGGTAATGATATTAACAGGAAAACCTGTAACACTATGTACTATACATCCTTTTAGTGCTTTGCTTACATTAACAGCCCTAAGTATGGGCCAGCACCCCCAGTTAATATCTCCAGTCCATGTCTCTCTTCTAACTCCAGGGTAGTATGCTCATTTACTTATTCGATATTTCTACTTGGATGTCTCATAGACATCTGCCACTGCTCCCTCCAAAAATGACCTCTTGATCTTTCCTCCTAAATTGTTCTCCATCTGAATGAAAAGTGCCAGCTTCTGCTCATTTGCTAGAAACCTAGAAACCTAAGAGTCATTTTTGATACTTGCCTTTCATTTCCCTTATAATCTATATCTAGTCAATTAGCGGGTACTGTATTCTTTTTTTTTTTATCATCCCTGCCACAATTCTGTGTCAAGTCATGTTATTTTTCCTCTTTTCTACCTTTTATCCTCTAAGACTAACACACTCTCTACTTCCACACTTGCCCTCTTTCATTTATTTTAATTTTTAAAAAGATTCATTATGGAGAATTTCAATAGTATTCAAAGTTAAGAAGAATTAATAAACTAAGTAGCCAGCTACAACAATTATCAAAATTCTGCCATTCTTTAGCTATACTTTAATCCACTCCCTTCCTCCTATATGATTATTTTATACAGTTCTTTGTATTTTGAGGGAAAAATACACACGTCTTAACTATATAGTATTGACAGTGCATTCACTCGTGTAGCTCACATCCCTCTCGATATGAAGAACACTCCATTAGCCCACAGATACTCTTAGGCCTTTTTGTGCTTTTTTCCTAGTTTCTTAGGGTAAAAGCTTAGATCATTTATTTGAGACTGCTATAAATTTCCCTTTAAGTACCACTTTAATTGCATCCCACACATTTCGATGTATTTCTATTTTCATTCAATTCAGTATTCTTGGTAATTTTCCTTGTGACCTCCTTTTTGATCCACAGATTTATTTAGACGTTTGTTCCTAAATTCCAAATATTAGAAATTTTTCCAATTATCTTTCTGTTATTGATTTGTAAAGTTTAATTCTGTTATGACTTGAGAACATAATTCATATCACTTCTTTTACGTTTGTTAAAGTTTGTTTTATGGATAGAGATATGATCTACCTTGGTGAATGTTTTATGTGCACTTAAAAAGAATGTATATTCTGCTCTTGTGGGTAGAGTATTCTATAAATTTCAATTAGGTCATGGTTGATAGTGTTTTTCAGGTCTTCTGTAACCTTACTGATTACCTGTCTGCTTATTCTGTGATTCCCGAGAGGAGAACTGAAATCTTTAACTATAATTGTGGATTTGTCTGTCTCTTTCAGTTCTCTTTGTTTCACTTTGTGTGTCCTAAAGCTCTATGGCAAGATGCATACACATTTAGGACTGTTTAGGATTGTCTTATTCGAGAATTAACCCCTCTCTCATTGTATAATGTTTCTCTGTGTCCCTGTTAATATTCATGGTTCTAAAGTCTCTTTTGTTAAGCATTAACATTTTTCCAGTTTTTTGGGGAGTGGTATTTATGTGGTGTATCTTTTTCCATCCATTTACTTTTAACCTATCTGTGTCTATATTATTTTGTGGGTAACATGTAGTTGGTACTTTCTTTTTTTGTCTTTTAATTGATAAGTTTATGCTAGTCACATTTAATTGGTTGGATCAAAATCTACCATTTCGCTAATTATTTTCTTTTTATTTTATCCATTCTTTTTTCCTTTATATTTTTGGGTTAATTGTATACTTTTTATGGTACTATTTTATCTCCATTATTGACTTATTTAAACCTTTTTGAAAAACTTTTTTAATGGTTGCCCTAGTGTTTACAGTATAGATCTTTACTTGATCAAAGTTTACCTTCAAATAATATTACATTGCTTCACATGTAGTGTAAGGATCTTAACAACAGATTATTCCTGGTTTCTTCCTCCCATTCTTTGTGCTGTTGTCTTAGATTTTTAACATTATGTGAATGATAAACACATAATACTTTGCTGTTACTTTTGCTTCACTCGTTTACTGTTCAGAACAATTCAGAGTGAGGAAAAAAAGTGAATATTTTAATCTTGCATTCCATTTTGAGCACTCTTCATTTCTTTTTATAGATCCAAGTTTCTGTCTGGTGTCGTATTCCTTCTGCCTAAACAACTTTCTTTGACATGTGTAAGTCTCTTGGCAATGAATTTTCTGATTTTGTTTGTCTTCTTATTTTTGAAAGATATTGTCACTGGGTATACAGTTTTGGGTTGACTTTTTATTCTCCGATATAATAAGATGTCACTCCATTTTCTTCTAGTTTATATGGTTTCTGATGAGAAGTCTGCTGTAAATGTTATCTTTATTCCTCTGTAAGTAATGTGTCTTTTTTTTCCTCTCATTGCTTTCCAGATTTGTCTTTTGCCTTTTTAGCAGTTTGTTTTAGCATTTTTTAACAGATATGCCCAGGCATTCGTGTGTGTGTGAGAGGGTGGGAGCAGGGTAGGGGAGAGCAAATTATCTTACTTGGTGTTCTCTGAGCTTCTTAGATCTATGATTTGTTGTCTGTCTTTAGTTTTCGAAAATTCTCAGCCATTATTTCTTCAAATATTTCTTCTTCCCTGTTCCCTGTTTTCTCCTTGTAATATTATAGAATTACATTGTAGTAGCCAGCCTCCAAGATGACCCCAATGGTTTCTGCCTCCCAGTATTAAGGCCCTTGTGTGGTCCCCTCCTGCGTTCTACCAGGGTTGGTTGTCTGTGTTATAAATAGCATGCATCAGAAGTGATGGAATGCCATTTCTGAGATTAGGTTATAAAAGACTGGGCCTTCTTTCCTGGGCACTTTCTTGCTTCCCCCTCTGTTTTGGATTGCTTGTTCTGGGGAAGCAAGTTGCCATGCTGTAAGCAGTCCTGTGGAGAGGCCCACATGGTGAGCAACTAAAGCCTCCAGCCAAGAACCAGTGAGGGGCTAAGGCCTGCCAACAATCTCATGAATGAGTGCCATTTAAACCTTGAGATGGCTGCAACCCTACACAACAACATGCTCCAAACTTATGAGAGACCCTGAGCCAGAACCATTCATTCCAGCTGCTCCCAGATGCCTGATTCGTAGGAACTATGTGAAATAACAAATGTTTGTGTTGAGCTGCTAAGTTTTGGGATAGTTTGTTACACAGCAATGTATGACTAATACATATGCATATGTTAGACTATTTCATATTGTCCCACAGCTCTTGGATTTTTTTAAACTGTATTCTCTTTTAGTTTCAATTTGGGTAATTTCTTTTGACCTATCTTCAAGTTTTTTGTTTCTTTCCTCACCTCTATCTAGTCTACTGAGGAGCTCGTTGAAGGTTCTTTTTATTTCTATTGCCGTTTTTTTATTTCTACTACTTCCATTTGATTCTTATAATTTTCATCTGTGCTGAAACTTCCCATCTGATTATGCATACTATTTATCTTTTCCTGTCAGATAGCGTCAACCTCTGTGTCATTGCTGAGTCTGGTTCTGTGGATAGCTTCGTCTCTTGGCTGTGTGTTGTTTTTTTCTGGGCAGAATTCATATGCAGATTTTAGGACTCATGTATTCTGATTTCCTTCATTCTTCAGTATCCATCTTAACTTTCTACCTGCTCTGGCCAGCCCTGAATATTGTCTTCTGACATTTCAAGCCATTAAGGCTGTGGCTTTTTGTCTTAAGACATTGTTGAATTGGGGAACACCTTCAGACAAAAAGATAGACTTGTAGCTCTCACCAGTATAGTTTTTAAGTCTTGAGGGTAGTCTCCCTGCCAACTTCTGCCTACATTTTATTGCTTTCTAGTGTCTTCAAATAGTTTTTGTTGTTGTTGTTTTTTTTGTTTGTTTGTTTTTTGGTTCAGATCTCTCTATTCTTATCTGTAAGAGGGTTGGTTTGACCAAGGTACTCTGCCAGTAACAAAAACTAAAAGCCTGCTGGACTCGAGAACAATAATAAACACAGATCTGATTGTATTACTGCCCCATCGAAGTCCTTAAATGTCTTTCCATTTATTAATGTCCTTGTCTTTCTCTGTAGCCATGTAAATTGGTCCCAAGCACTATGCTAATCATACTGATTTCTTTCAGCAAATAGCAAATTAACACCATTTGTCTTATACTCACTTTGAGTAAGTTTGTAATTGCCTGCTCTGTGTAAATAATTTCTCTTACTGTGGCTCTCTCTGTGTATTTCTGTTTGGATGTTATTATTCTCAAAAGCTCATATGACGTGGCTCTCTTGTTAATCCTTATAACTTCTCTATTTTAAAAAATTGTTCTCTTTTGTTTGTACATGCTGAGAATCTCAAATCTCTGATTAGATTCCATGTTTTGAGTTGCCATGTGATTTATCTCATAAGAAATAAAATGTTTTTTCCTTCTAACTCAACCTTAGGGATGACAGAAATTTAAGAAACAAAGGCTTAATAAGTAGTGTGAAGTCGCTCAGTAAAGAAGAATTGAGTGCAGAGTTCTTAAACTTATCTCTGAACACAGAAACATATCACCAGCCTTGTATATCTAAGCAGCAATTGAAAGCAGGTAGTATTTTTACTTTGAATAATTAGAAATGTATTTTACTTTATATTCGAACATTATTGATAACAATTGGAATTTATAGCAGATTTTTATCTTGTACATTTAAAATAATGTTGTTTGGAATGTTCGTTCTCACATAATTGGACATTTAAAATGGCATTGTCCGGAATATTTGCTTGCATGCAAATGCTAGAAATAAATGAATATTATAATGGTAATCCAAAAGAAATCATAATTAATAGTATTACTTTCTACATACACTTTTATAAATTAATATGAAGTTTTGTTTGTACACTCAACATACATTTTACATTTTGGCTACAGAAAATATTCATTCTAAATGGAAATTTTTAGTTTCATTGTAAAATTAGCTTCATGTTCATAATTTTCTGTTAATACTGTAAAAACCCAATAATAGAAAAACTTGAAAGACTCTAGCTGTAGTTTTTTTTCTAATTTCTAGTTTTTTTTCTAATTTTAAACTAATAGTTAAGAAAACTAAAGGTTTTATTTTTTTCTAACCAGAATTACCTCTTTTTCCACCAGAATAATCTGTTCTATAGCTTGATAGTTGATGGAATGTTATATCAAATCTGACATAATTTAAAAACACATACCACCTTTTCCCTCTGTGGGGAAAGTAATTATTTAAGTTTCTGTATCGTATGTACTTTTATATATAATAGTATAAGAATTCCTGTATACACATGGTACTTATTTGACCATTTTCGTAATAAAATTTCTTTAGTCATAATATTCAAAATGGCATTTAGAAGGAGTAACAAAATATTCTAATTTATCTTATTTTAAGGGTAGCATGCTTTTACTTTGCCCATTATATTACTGTCAATTTAAAACCTTAGTTTGTATTTATAGAGATAAGCCACTTAATATTTTGAATTTCTCTATAAAGAAATTGTAGTTGTTTCCAGGTATCAAAATAGTAATGGTAATGAAATAATATCAGTTAAAATAATAAAAATTCATTTTTAAAATGGAGGGCATAAAGGTAGTTAAGTCAGAGATTTTGGTCCTTTCAAAAAAAATTATTGATGTGAGCTATAATTGGAAGAATATGCTATTTTTGGAAGAAAACACATTTAGATCCATAGTTCTTGGTTTTCTAATGTAAATAGATTCAAAGCATTTTTTTGATTTTTTGTTTTTTTGGGAGTAAAATTAAAATAATAGTTAAAACCACGCATTTCTTAAATTTTTATTTTAATGAAAATATGCAGTTGTCTTTCATCAAAAAGCTAAAGAATTTGCTCATGTAATGTGTTTATATTGCATCTAAAACAATTATACTAGAGATACATGTTTCTAAATACTGTTTTTAAAATAAAGTACTGGTTTGTTGTTTAGGTAACTCAAATACTAATTATATACATAAAATGTTTATTATTTATGGCCAAATACTAATTATATGTGTAAAATATTTACTATTAGTGTCCTAAATAAAGTTTGCAACTGTTTTAAAGAAACACCTTTGGAAGAGAGCAATGAGGAAGAATCTCCAGATTCTGGTCTACCCATTCTACTTGAAAGCATAGTATCTGATCTTGAAAAATCTCTTGGAACAGCTCTATCTTCAATATTAGAAACAGAAATGAAACTTGCTTTTGGAAACCTCTGGGTGGAGGTGATTATTTAAACTCTTATTAGTTGAAAAGTTCTTTTATTGCTAATGACTGGTTACCTTATTTTAAGAAATATAGCTTATATAAAATATGTAAGCTTCATTGTAATAATGTTTCACATTATACTTTTTTCTTGAAGTTTTCGAAATAAAATTTTGAAAATTAAATGATGGATATTTCCTAAAGATTAGAACTATATTTCATTATTTTTTTCAGTGAACCAATATTTATTCAGTTATTTTTTTGCAGTGAACCAATATTTATTGTGCATATATTATGTGTCAGAGACTTTGCCCCCAGGAGCTTAAATTGAATTCAGAAAAACTTCTTTCATATTAGTTTGAGTCAAAATGTCTATTATAGGGAATTGTCCTACAATACGAATTCAAAAAAAGAAAGGTATGTTTTGGCTTATGTCATAAATATGAGAATCAATATAACATTAATTCTGTTAGTAAGATATTTTGAATTTTCTTTAGATTCACATCTTTTCTGCAATTAGTAAAACACCGTATTCAGCAATAGTGGCCTTTTCAGTTTCATGTCTGTTTGCTGTTCACACTTATAGCTAGGAGAAACATTAATTGCCATCAGTTGTAGATTGTGTCTATTCCAGAAATTCAGTGAGATTCTGATACCTGCCAATATATTGTGTTTGCTACTTGATTATATTATCAAGTGTTGAACCAAGATGATGAAGAATAATTAGAAGATTCTAGGAGGGCTGACTTAAATCGGATATTACATAATAGAGTCTAGAACAGTGATTTGATATGAATGAAACAGAAAAGGACATGCTGACATCTTGTAGTACTAAATGATCGATCTTTATAAACATGTCTTTGTAAGAGTATAGCAAGTGTCAATTATAATTGACAGCTTTTTTTCTGTATCAATTTTTCACCAGTTACATGAAATAATTAGATTAATTTCCTCATATAAATGAGTGTCGAAAAGTAGATTGCTGATCTTTGCTAATTAAAACTGTGCTTCTTCTAATTAGAATTATGCTTGCTTTTTGCACATATTGTTTCTGAAACTACATAAGGATTAATACTAATATGAATTTTACAAAAGCAATTTGCAATGAAATTAGCATTTTAAGATTATGATTGGCTTTTAATAAAACATCTTTTAGTTTAAAAAGAATTCAACTAGCTATATTTTGCCGAGAAATATATGTAGGGACTCCTAAATAGGAACAGTTGACCTTTCAACAACATGGGAGTTTGGAGTGCCAACCACCCATGCAATTGAAAATTCGTGTATGACTTTGACTTCCCAAAAAGTTAACTGCTAATGGCCTACTGTCGACTAGAAGCCTTACTGATACCATAAACAGTCATGTATTATATACTGTATTCTTATAATAAAGTAAGCTGGAGAAATGCTAAGACAACCATAAGGAAAATGCATTTATAGCATTACTGTGCATATTTATTAGAAAAAATTTGCCTATAACTGGACCTACACAGTTCAAACCCATATTATTCAGGAGTCAACTGTACTTTTTAATAATAGTAATAATAAATAAATCAATAGATGCTAATTTTTTTCTAAATACTTTTTAGATGCTGTACTTGAAACCACCATGGACTCTAATGCATTTATTACAGTGCTTTAGAAAACATTGGTTGGCTGTATTTGGATTAGTTATGGAAAAGAATTTGCTTTTAACCATTGAGAGCTTATATGAAAATCTCTCTAAAGGTATGAATCTTTTATTTTGTTTTTAGCAGTGTTGTATTAAAGTCAGACTAACAGATATATTCCATGTAATGTGAAGATAAATTAATTCAATAATTTGTTAATTAGTTCTTAATCATTTATACTTCTCATTTCCAGAGGGAATTTGTGATAGCTGGCTGAATGGATGCAGTTCATAGGGCTTGTGACTATTGGTATTGTTGATGTTCCTGGATGTTGTGAATATATAATTTTTAATAATGTTTGAAAACATTTAAAATCAGATTTGATCTTCAGGTATGCAAATAGAATTATTTAGATTTTTTCATTTCTTGCTATATTTAACACAAATTTTGACCACTTTTCATCTACTGATTTTAAAGTGTAGTATAACAAGGTTTCTAGCTAAAATATATGGATAAGGAGTAGGAAACCTTTGGCTTTGATGCATAGTGAATTTTAAAACCAGAAGAGACTACAGTTAGCCACTTGATTGGAAGTGTTTAAACTGTATTGTACAGAACCTCAGGCTTCCGAAGTGCCCCTAGAGCTGCCACACTTAGAGGTAGAAAGGTCTATGGGAGCCTGGTGGGCCTTTGGCCTTCAACCTCAACTTTAGCCAACCAGCTTTCTTTTATCTATTTCTATATGGAGATTCCATGTAGGATTTGAAAAAAAAAAAAAAAAAAAAACTTTCTCTGCTAAGAAGAAAAAGATGTGAAAAGCACTGATCTGATGTTATTAAAGTCCATGTTTTGTGATGAAGGAAATGAGCCCAGATAGCGGCGAGTGTCTAAAATCTAAACAGCTAGATTTGTCTTGCTATCTGTGCCTTTTAAAAAGCAAAGTAAAACAGAAGGAATTTAAAGTGCCTCGTCAGTGTCTCATGACCTGTACAAGGTATATGTTGCAAGAATATCTATTTTTCAGAGTTACCATTTTTAAAAGAAATATAATTTCCAGGGGTTATCTTTAACCATAGATTATTTGTTGGGGATATTATTATATAAGGGACGTTTAACAGTATATTGGACATGTCTTCAAAGCAGTTTTACAAGATATATAGAAACACTTTATATATCTTACCAGGGGCATAATTTAGTTGGTTCTAACAAAAGGCAAAATCTTGATCTTGAACAAGATTTAGTTTAAAAAACAGCATATCTAGTTGCCATCTTCCATTTGTCTGTTCTTTTCAGGGGTGGGCAGTGTTTTGCTCTTTGCAGTTTAGATGTGGTTAGTGGGCAGCAGCTCTGATTGGCAGTAAGGAAAGGATTGAAGAGATGTGACTGTTCCTTGTGCTAAAGGATTGAAAAGATGTGACTGTTCCTTTTTCGGAATCATTGTGTGCATAATTTATTGATCCTTAGTCTAGAAGAATCTGATGCCTAATATTTACTGACTTGTGATGAATATTAAAAGAATTATAAAAGTGCCTTCTGCTCTAAAATAATTTTGATTAGAAGAATCAGTTTGTGACTTGTTTACTATCTTTAATAGTATCCTCAGCTGTTGAATTATACGTGTGTTTATCTTCAGTATACCAAACATATACCCTTAGAATAATTCATAGAAAATTGTGTGGAAAATGTCTAGTTGCTTTTTCTGACTTTGATATCCATATTAACTTTAGTCTAAATAATTATCATTCTTACATAAGCATTAAACTATTTCAATCATGTAGATGTCGTTTTATGTTTTGTCTAGGTGCTGAATTTATCACTGTTATTTCCCTTTTGCCCATAGTCTTCATAAAGAATTTCTGTAAGACCGAAATAAAATGATTAATTCAAGGATATAACCTTGCTAGATATAGACTACTTTGAAGAAGCACACTTAAAAAAAGTCATGCCCAATTTCTCCTCCTCAAGAGATTTTCTAGGTTCATCAGATCTAAATTCTGTCTCAATTGTAGCATCTCTCTCATCTCTCTTTTCCCATAGGAATTTAAACTAGTCATCAATTTTAAAAATAACTAAAAGCGTTTTGTAAAGAAATATACTGTTCGTTTGTTTGATGAAGGGGAAGCCAGAAGCTTGCCTGTAACCATCACATTAGATTAGAATTTCTAATATTGTTTAATTATTAAAATCTTTTATTTTCATTTAACCTTTCATTAGTTCACAAGCAGATGCTCGTTGTGTAAGTGATACAGGGGAACTCTTTATTTTTTTAACTCACAGAGCCAGTGAAAAATCATGCTGGTGTTTCAGAGAAACTGAACATTAAAAAAAAAATAACATATTATAGCATGGTTATTGTAAATGCCTTTGAAAATTGTTACGCAGCATTCTATCTTAATAATGGAAAGATTTTTTTTTTTATTCTGAGTTTTAGTGACTTTAGAAAGTTACATAACTTCATTGTTCCTAACTTTTAAATTTGTTGAAATTATTGTTATCATCTCTCCTAATTAGTTTGAAAATTTAACGCAAGTCATTTTAGTTCCTTGAGAGCAAATCATTATACCTTTAAATTATTGCTTTAAATTAACTCACTGCTAATTTACAGTGGAAGAAATTTTGCAAGCTTCTCTTGCCTATAGCTTACTGTTACTTAACAAATAATAAGAATTATTTATTTTCTGCTAAAGCTGTATTGAGCACAGAAAACACATTGTTTTCAGCAAATTCAGTATTGCATTTCATGTGATAGAATTCGAAGGTGAATCACTGCGTAACAACCGAGGTGATGATGAGTGGTCCCACGTAGGACTTACGTGCTCACACCAAAATGTGACTTGTCTGATGCCTCCACAGTAACCTGAATGTGAAGCAACCTCAGTTTCGAAATTCTGTAGTGTAACTCATTTGTTGGGTGATCATAACTCTTTTCTGAAGAGTATAGTGTTCATTCATTTTTACTTCAAAGTTGACCATGTTGAGGGGACTCCGGGAATCTGAGTACGGAATACCAGAATCAACTCCAAGTCCTTTGTCGATAACTAAGTTTGTCAGTTGTTGCTTTTAACACTATAGAGGTAAATTAGGAGTGGTGTGTAGGTGTAAATGTGTACTCTTCTTAAATTTCATAATTAATAATAGATCGGTTTTCCAAAGACATTTTTGTGTTGTATGCTCGTTCTTACATATTTTTTCCTTTTTAATTTTCTTTTACCAGCTAACAATGAAGTGGATTTTACAACCGTGAAATTCCTGCTTCAGGATTCTCAGAGTCTGTTACATGCTTTCAGTACAAGGTCAAATTATGATGGTATTCTTCCACAGGCCTTCGCTCAAGTAAACAAGCTACTCCAAACATTTACAGAGGTAAGATACCTTTGGAATGCCACTTTGATTAGCTAATCACTTGCGTTCTAAAATGAATCTAGCAGACAACAGTAGGTAGAGGATATTTTAATTCTAACTTATTCTAAAATATTAAGGCATTAGGTAATATATTAAGTGAAATGAAAATTGAGTAAACAATTCTTATTACAAGTTCTAAAACACAGATCCTCTGGTGGAAGCAGTATCACAACAGTTGTCGGGATTTTATGTGATTTCATTTCTTGGATGGAAGAGAACTATGCACCATTGTCGGAATACTCATTTTCCAGCTCCCTAGACCCATGAACCACAACATAGATCAAAATACTTTGGAAATTTTTTTTTAAACATGCATGTGCCAAGGCCATCTCAGACCTTAGGGATCAAATATCTGGTAGTGGTGCCCAGTAATATGGTTCTTGTTTTACTTTTTATTTTGAAATAATGTCAAACTTACAGAAAGGTTGCAAGAGTAGTACAAGGAATTCCCATATATATCCTTTATCCAGATTCCCCAGTGTTAACATTTTAATCACATTTGCTTTATTGTTTTCCCTGTCTACCTACCTACCTGTCTATGTACTTACCTGTCCACATTTTTTTCTGAACTCTTTGAGAAAATGTTGCAGATACGATGCTCTTTTACCTCTAAATACTTCCATATATATTTCCTAAAGTATATTTATGTAGCTAGTATAATTAATCAGGAAATTAATATTGATATAATACAATGATAAAGTGCTTGGAGGCTTGGATATACCTATTTATTATTGTATTCTAGGTGTCCTCTCTAGTTCAAAACCTTATGTGTACAAGAGTTCAAACAGTATTGAATTGATATTTGCATTTCAGCTAAGAAAGTTCACGATGATAAATAGAAAATATTGTTTGATATAAATGGAAAAGGAAATTTTTTTTAGCTCTGATACTTTTCTGGGAATATTCTGTACATAATCAAAGACAAAGAACGGTGAGCACTTTTTAGAAAGCTAGAACTTTTGTAAGTACAATTTGGATTTTTTTTCCTCTCATGTCTAGTCAAGGACTAGCTGCATTTTATGTAATTCTTATTTCCCCAGGTCAAGGCAAAACTTAATCGGAACCCTTCTGAAAATGCAGCGTGTAAAAAGCAAGAAGATACCTCTCCAATGAAGTCTAATGACCAAGAAATCACCACTTTCTCAAGTGCCCATCTTCCCCCACCCAACAGGCATCAAGAAATCTGGTCTATCCTGGAGAATGTTTGGATTACAATATATCAGAACAGGTACTACATTCTAAGAATTTTTGAATTTTAGGGTTTTCCATCGTTACTGTTATTCATTGCACCATGGGTACTTGGATTGTGATTTTAATGTACTAGATTATCTTATTGAAAACTTTCTGTCAAATTGGGACCTTAGAAACAGTGATGCTTAAATAGGGGTACACATCAGAATTACCTGGAGTGTCTTAAAAATATATATGCCTGGGCTGTATTCACAGAAATTCTCATTCAGTAGGACTGAGGTGAAGCTTAGATAGTACATTAAACAAAATCTCTCTGGGTGATTCAGCTATGAAACCCTGATGAGAAACATGCCTATATATGTCAAAACCAAAGAACAGTCACCTAGGTGGCCTCAACAAATTAGCAGGATACAAAGCATTAATGAAATTTAAAATGATTTAAGGAAAGGTAAGTCTGGATTAGGGAAAATTCATGTGAGATTTTTTAAAAAGGAAGATACTTTTATTTAAAAGGAAGAAACACTTTATTACTTTCATACACATCACAAGTACTGTAGTCTTGGTAAAATGAAAAGATAGAGATCATTTGTGAGCAGTTCTTTAAATAGGCTTCTGTTAAAACAACTTTTAAAGCAACTGATTTTAAACTAGGCCAACACTTCCTTCCATACTTTTACCCCAAACCCATAATTTTTATATAAGTAATTCGCCAACGATACTATACACTTCATAGTATGGTTTTGGTGGAAGGGCCCAGAGTGACTATTGTTTTGGATTAAGATCATCTATCTATTCTAGATAGATGTTCACAAGAGCAGCAAAGTAATATTAGCTCTCTATTTAAACATCTATTCTCAGTCAGTCATCTATTACAACACTAGATTTGGGGCCTATTTTTAGTCCTTGGCTATAATTAAAAATTTTTTTCAAAACCATTTATAGTCTTCCACACTAAAGAAATATCTATACTTGACTTGTGTGCTAAAGAAAACAATATTTTAAAAATTGTCTTTTCATATAAAAGATAGATTTTGTTCATTGGTTTGTCTGATCTTAACATAAGTTTAATATTTTGACTAATCAGATATTCTGTTTAGTTGAAAGTTACCCTATGTACCAGGCAGAGATTATCACTTTCAAAGTAAAATAGATTAAAACCATATCTGAGATGTTTTAATCTTCCTTTCATTTAGAAAACATTTGAGTACTTTATGTACCTTAGAGCTGACTTGTAATATACATACGTTTATGTCGGATGTTATTGAGTTCTGGGTAATTTCTGGATAGTAGACTACATTACAGCGTTTCAGTGAGTGACAAACACTTATATTGCTTTATCAGTATATAGTTATTAAAGCCTACTTCACTGTCTCTCATGCCTGGTTGTGCACCTGAGTCACTGTAAAACTTCTCACGTATTTGTGCTTGAACCTTCCATGTGGAGAGGCTCATTTGAAGGTCTGGTAGGCCCTGTGCAGTTATTCACCTGAAACTCCTAGACTCACAGCGGTCCCCAACCTGTTTGGCACCAGCGACTGGTGCTCCCATGAGAATCTAATGCCTGATGATCTGAGGATTGGAAGACTTCAGAAAGTTGGAGGACTCATATTTTCCGATTTCGAAATGTGCTACAAATTTTCCAGAATTCAAAACAATGTGCTACTGGCATAAATATAGACACATAAATCAGTGGAATAGAATTGAAAATACAGAGGTAAACTCATATATCTACAGTTGATTTCAACAAGGATGCCAAGACCTTTTAAGAATGGTCCCTTTTATAAATAATGCTGGGACAACTCAGTAGCTACACACGGAAGAATGAAGTTGGACCCTGGCCTCATACTACATACAGAAAAGAACTCAGAATGGACAGATGACCTAAATGTAAAACTATAAAACTCCTAGGAGGAAACAATTTAAACAGATTAGCATTATGAGAGATGAGCTACAGATATGAGTTGACTTATTTTATATGTTAGAAATGGAAAACTTGAATTACAGTAAATATGCATGTGGACCTAAAAGTATCTCTTCTTTTTCTCTATTTCAGCACAGATGTGTTTCAGAGATTGGGTTCAAATTCAGCTCTGACTTCTTCAAAAATAGCTTCATTTGAAGAAGCATTTATATATCTTCAGAAGTTGATGGCAGCTGTGAAGGATATTCTTGAAGGAATTCAAAGGTATACATGAATTAATTTTAAAGTTTTATTTATTACTTTTTTCTTCTAGGCTTATCAGATTTGTCAGAGTTGCTGTGAGTCTTCCAGCAGATTTCCTAAACTAATAGCCTTTAGATTTAACTCTTCTTCCTGCCTTGCAAAGAATCCCTGTTTCTGGTTTGGACCACAAGAATGTTCTGCTTTTTCCTTTCTAGAAAAAAAATATACCAGATTGTAAGCTTCATAAGAAACTTTATTTATTTTTTTATTGTGTAGCTATAGCTTCTAGAACAGTGCCTAGCATATAATGGGTACTCAATAATTACTTGTTGAATAAATACATGTTAATATTTATTAACATTATAATTACTTGTTGAATATTTACTTGTTGAATAAATACATGTTAATATTTATTAACATTATAAGTTCCTCCAATGCAGTCTCACAGTTTTATAAACTGAAAAAGTTAGAGAAGCAACAACAGTCTTATGATGTTTTATGACTTATTCATAGGTGATTATTTCAAATATTCGTGAAGCATATAGGAAACATAGTGCCAGAAAGCTATAGAATGGACCATAGCTTCTTTATAGCATGAAGTCAGATGTTTTCTTTGTGGCACTAAAGGAGAATATTTGACACTTCTTTTTCTACAGATAGTAGAGATTTCAGTCTGTACTCAGTTCCTTGGTAAATGTTTATTGAGCGCCAGCTATGCTTGACATCGTGCTGGGCTCTGGGGAATCAAAGATAAATAAGATGCAACTTGTGATTCCAAAGAGCTTGTAGAAATAATGCAAACGGTCACATTAAAACAGATAATTGCAATAGAGAGTTGTTAATATTTTAACAAAGACATGTGCACTGGAGGGAGAAAGGGTTTGGCAGAAGATGAGGCTGGATGGAAGTTGGAGGGGAAGGTCTTGTAGGTCACTCAGAGTTTCCACTTTATCCTATAGGCTGGTATTTCACATGTTAGCAACTGTTTATCATGTGCCTTGATGAAAGTGTTTCTGGTCCAAAAAGGTTTGGAAATACTACATATTATACTACCCTCTTAGAAAATCACTGTGTATCTATTAATATATTAATGAGTTTTATAAGCCTTTGCTGTAGAGCACCCTTTTTAATTTTAGGAGCTTTACACAAATTGATGCTTGGGTCCCCTACCCAAGATATTCCAATGTCATTGGTCTGAGGGTATGTCTGACTCTCAGGAGTTTTAAAATTTCTCAAGGTGTTGCTAATGTGTAGACAGGGCTGAGAACCACTAGCCAGTGTGCTTATCTACTGGTTCTCAAAGTATGGTCACAGAACCAGCATCATCATCATCACGTGGAACTTGTTAAAAATATAATTCTCAAACCTTGTCATAGCTCCCGAATCAGAAACTTGTGGGTGAGACCCAGCGGTCTGTGTCCTCCAGTGGGTTCTGTGTACTCAGAGGCTGAGCATCACTGGCCCAAGCCCTGCCCTGGTGGCCGATTATAATCATATGGGAACTTTAAAAAAAAGAACAGTGTCCAGATCCTACCCTAAACCAGTTAAATCTGAATCTCTGTGACTGGGACCCGAGTATAAGCATGTTTATAGACTCCCTGGGTGATTCTCATGGGGAGCCGAGATGGAGAAGGTATTGCACTTACTGCCTACAGAGCTGTACCGAAAGAAAGAAATACTTGGATTTTAAGGCTAATAAAACTTTTCATTCTTTCCTTTAAGGACACATACTCCAGGAATAAGAAAATGTTAGTAGCTCTGCTACTTTTAAGATGTAACCTAGGGTAAATTGTCTTGAGCCCGAGTCTTCATCTATAAAACAGGCATGATGATGCCTTCCCAGAGCTTTGCACGGTTATCATCCTTCAAAAGTCAGGTGTTGGTATAACTGACGAAACCAGTGATTCTCCACTTATTTGTTGGGGAACTTGTTAAAAATACAGATTTCTAGATCTTACCGCAGAATTATTGAAATCACAATATCTATATAGATAGTTTGTAAAGGAGGGAAGTTGTGTTTTTAATACGGTTTCCAGGGGATTTGTGTGCAGGTCGTGAGGGACCACACTTGAATTAATCCAACCTCTTGTGGTAAATATTAGAACTTCTTGAGCTACCAGTAGAGGGCATTATAAGTAAAAACGTTTGCTCCTTTCAGCACTCATTAATCAACAGGAAACTACTATAATTGCAAATCCCACTCCCTCACACACACCTTTAAACAATAGGCATTTAAATCCAAATGTAATAAGAGTTAATAATTATATTATTTTGTCAAGTTTATATGTGGTCTTAAAATTGTTAAAGAGTCACGTTAAATCAAAGTAAGTTCTGTTAAAAAAATTTTGGCTAACTTATGTTTAAACATTGAAAAATACACTCAACTTTGTAGTGAATGCAAATTCGTTAGCATTTTTTGGTGTTAAAATGGAATAGTTTTATTTGGTTTTCAGATACATTTTCAGTGAGTTATATATCAACTCTATTTCTTTTTATCATAGCAAATCGTGTATGGTGTTACATTGATGACCTATTAACCAGGTCTTTCAATTAAAGAAGGCAATGAAAATGTATTTGTTAATCTAAGAGCTTGGACTTCTAGTTCCATATTTATCCCATTTACCACGTGACTCTATCCTAGCAAAAGTGAAATACTCAGACTTTTTGCAGGATTACTAGATATTGGCTCTGAGTTAATGCAGATCTCTGGGGACCTAAAATTCCACTGTAGTTGGGGAAATGGTCGGAAAGGCAGATCTACCTTGATTAATAAACAGTGACTGCTGGTTTGTTTGGAAACTTGGAAACAGGATTGGAGAACTGGTGACAGGAAAGTCAGGAGAAGGGCGTGTGGACGGTCATCTTGTAATGGGCGCAGAGAATGCGGGTGTTTGTGTCCCGTGTGAGCACTCATCAAAGGCTACCCACTGGAGCGGAGACTCAGAATCAGAGGGACAAGGCCAGCTGTCCCGAGGAGGTCAGTCAGCCTCTTTCCCCAGCCACCCCAGTGTTTGGTTAGGGACAGTGACAGCCTGGATAACGTGAGACTTCCCCTCATGAAGGCTGCTCTGGCTGCTACCACTGCTGAGAGCCTAAACTGCCAACAGCAGAGGCAAATGTTAAGCATTCAATAAAGCATCATTTCCTTGAGGACCAGTAAGCCACTTAGCAGAGTGCTTCAGACCCCTTCTGTTATGGAGGGGACAGTGATTATCCTCACCGGAATAGACACTGGGGTGACCTGTAAAAGACTTATTTGCCATATCAGCTGCAACCTGTGAAGTCAGAGTGCTGGCCTAAATAATGCTGTCCATGGTGCTGTTTCTCCGTTAGAATATGTAAATGCAGAAACCATGGAAGGTATCTCAAACAGAAAATGTAATATACACTGTACATACTTACTTTCAGTGCTGTTGATAGGACAGGAGGAGCAAAAAAGAAGGTTTTTGATGCATTTTGAAACTTTCTGTGTCTTGGTGCCCCCTGTACTGTAGGAGCACAGCACGTGATTACTACGATTATTTTTAAAAAGTCAAGTTCCTCCAGATTGCTTGGAAATAGTTGTAAACACTTAAGAGAGGTAGATGTGCTTTTATGACCTATTTCATGGTTAGAGTAGAGGCATTCTTCAGTGTGTTCCATTCAGTTAAGCTGTAATCGTTATTCTTCCTGTACATAGTTGAGCTTAGGGCCTAACGTTCACGTGACCATCTTGTCCTCAAAATGAAGATCAGTACCATTAGTTAGGAATCAGGTTTTTTTTTTCCCTAAATGTGTACACTTTCAGAGAAGTTGCAAAGGTATAATTTTACTATAACCTGGGCTAACATTTTTCACATGTGTGCATTTTCAACTTTTTATCAAAAGACATTTTAAGTAGAATTCTATGTTTAGAAATTTAATTGCCACTTCTTCAACTTAGATTTCTGTGACGGAATGACCCACGTGGGAAGGGAATATTGTTTATACACCTCTTTCTTATGGATTTCTATACTCCACCTCAGGTCTCTGTCTTACCTGGGCTTGGGGGTGATTGGTTCCTTCTGCCACTCTCGTACCTGTCCGCCACTAAGAGAGGTCCCCATCTTTCTTCTCTCTACATGCTGACATAGGGAAAATAGTCTCTCTTATTTCAATTAAGATACAGTAGGACGTCATAGGAGGAAGCTTCACTAAAAAGCTAATGAATACCTGACTAAGTAGATTCAGACAGAGGGAACATAGATCTTGCCTGTTGCTAGGAGGAGGAATGTCAGTATTATGTTGCTCAAAGAACATGTCGGATGAGAGATCTCGTTGTGTTGCCATCTTGGAAAATACGATCTCACAGTCTATCGTCTGGCCTCTACAGTTTACATCCCTTCTACTAGCAGGATATACTCATCCCATCTTCCCAAGACCCCCAGTCTTATCCCATTACGACACTAACTTAACGTCTACGATGTCATCATTTAAATCAGGTCCGGTGTGGTTGAGGCGAGGCTCCTTGGGTGTGACTCCGTCAGTACAGCTCCTCCAGGACTGTCTGTCTTAACTACTGTGAACCTAAGAGACAAATTCATTCCCCCAACATACACTATCAGGACAGGCACAGGATAACTGTACACTTTCCCATCAAAAAGGGGGAAAGTAAGAGGCACGTAGGAGCTCTAGCAATTATAAAATCCAGCCGAGCACACGCTCCTGGGAATTACTCACAGCTGCTTCTTGGGTCTTGATTTTGGCTCCAAACCTTTTCCGTACGAATAGCAAGCTGCAACCAAGGAGCCTTCTCAACCTGCTTCCTGCCTGTCAAAGGTAGGGAGTCCAAAGACTTTTCATTTTGAATTATCTCTGTCTTGTTTAGTTTAAGTGGTGGGACTTCTACGAAAACAGTCCTCTAAAAAACTGTTTTCTATGAATCTTATTGGGGTTTGTTCTATTAGAAAAAAATAACAGCCTCAAATTTCTTAGAAATAAACCCTTCTCCACCTTGGGTTCCCCGTGAAACTGCTATGAGCAATGCTGTTAAGATTTTTGGA